GAGGTGTGTGTTATGTTAACGAGGCTTTGCAGTCAATTGAATTGATTTTCTCTTGATGTTTTTTTTTTCTATAGATTTTGGGTGGGGAAAAATATAACGTTTGCGGAATTTTTTTTTTGGAGGTTGGTGGTAGGTCGTCGGATGCATGCACACCGATCTCGATCGGCGGCTAGCCCGCCTCTGCTTGCTACCGAACCGGCAGCTCGCTCGCTGGCCAGGGGGTGCTCTGAGCTAAGTCGATGATACATCGGTGGGTGCCGCAACGAGATGCCGGGTGCGTCTCCCTCTACCCAGCAGTCTTCTCCCGAGCCAGCCACGTGAGTCGTTCGTTGGTTATCTCCAATAACCATAAACAAACGGCAGACGTCGGCATGGCAATGCTATGAGGTGGAGGTTAGGAAGGCCAGCTACCGGGCTGGTGTTGGGCCTTGTCAGCTCCGAGACAAAAAGTCAATATTCGATGCGAACACCACACACCCCCGCATCCCCCCAAGTCGAAGTGAAAAGGAGAAAAAGGCAAGGACAGGTCACCATGCAAAGGCGTAGGAGGGCAACACTGCGAGATAACCCCAAACCTGCAGCAAAGCGTCGGACTTGACCGAGTTCATGCGTATACCCGCGCCGGGCTGCCTTCTCTAGCGAAAGGTTTGAAGCCGTTGCCGCGCCGGCAGGGCGTTGCCAGTACCCATCCGCGCGCAGACTGACAGCGGATCTCCCGCGCCCGACTCCTCCCTCGCCCCCCCTGCGCGGGACGGAACGATTAGATGGCTGGCTGGTCAAAGATTTTCCCGCGTGGACAAGGCTTCCGAGAAAAAGGAAGACGCCACCCGAGCTGCGGACGGGGAGTCAATTTGCCCGACCGGGCGCACCTGCGAAAACAAGGAGGCGAGCAAGCCTCTCGGGGGAAAAGGCTTGTGCTGCGCAGGCTCTTGTCAAGAGGTGTCAAAATATTTCCAAGAGACGGGGCAAGGGTTTGCAGCTGCTGGAGCGACATGTGGCATCGTGTCCACCAGATATTTCCTCTCCCCCTCCCCTTTTCGCCAATCACCAGGCGAGGCAATGTGGGCGGCAGTCCCATCTCATCTCATCCATCTGGCCTCGCTTAAGTTTTGTCCGTTCCCGCTTATGGGGGTCGTGCTCATCCCGCGAGGGCTTCTAGAAGTTTTCCCGTCGAAAAACACGTGTGTTGTAGCGTGTGATTTCAGGGGGGAGGGAAGGGATGTCAAGAAATACGACTGAGCGACAACGAAACCCAACCACACGCTCGCGCGCGCAGACACACGAGAGAGGGGGCTGGTAGGTGGAACAGCGTCCTGGCGGGGAGCGGTCACGGCAGAAGGGCCAGGCTTCATCCACCTTGACCCCTGCCCGCATGCAATATCAGCATATTATGGCGGTCCAGTCCTATTATGCGGTCATACCCTGCGGGGGGCTAGGGAGCCAGCCACCAATTCAACCCCCGAGAAACGAGGTGTGATAAGTCAGCATGAATGGCGGCAGGTAGTAACTGCCGGCAAGAACGGGCGGCTGAAGGTACGGGAAATGAGAGTCATGGTTCTGGGAGGAAGAAAAGATAAAGAAATGAAGAATGGGTAAAGAATCATGAAAAAGGGAAAGAATCGACGACCGGACACGTGGGCAGACGTGGGCAGACGTGGGAAGACGTGAGCAGAGTAATGTGGTGTCGGGCATTTGTGACGAATTATTCAGCCCTGCCCGGCGTCTCTTTGGATGATTCTTCGCAGGGCACCGGGGGTTCGCTTCCATCCCAACGCGAATCCCCAGAAAGGCCAGAAGCAAGTCAACATGGACGAGCGAAGATGGCTCTTTAGCCGCGCGGCCCTTGATTCCGCACACGGGACGCACAGGCTGGCTGGCTGGCCCCCTCCCTCCCTCCATCGGGACTGAGGAAAACGGGCACCCACCCGAATGTTTCACAATTGCGCGCGGCCGCCATCGCTTGGTGGGGAGGGGGGTAAACAAACAAAAGGACTGATTGATGGAAGGCAACCGAAATGGAACAATTTCTATAAAAGAAAAGGGAAAAGGAAAAACATACACCCACCTTCACAGGGTCGTATGCAGCGGAGTCTCGTCACACGCGAGCCGGTTAAATCGTGGCCTTGCGTGAGCCACGTGGCGAGCTCCTCCCTAACGCAACGTCGCCCACCGCCCACCACCCCACCGCCTAGGCCGCCGCTTTCGGGCGATACATGCTTTTATTCTTCTCTTCAGGTTGCCCTAATCCGAGCCTCTGGGTAGCATGCGGCGATGTCCTCGGCGGGTCAAGCACCCGATTCACGGTTACAGGTTAGTAGGATATTGAACGTTACGCTGTGGGCCTAACAAGGGGGGGGGGGAGGGGTCTGCCAGGGTATTAGCAAAGGGGTACATATCTCAACGCACAATTTGTAGTAGGAATCAATGTATTGTAACTAACAGCTTGAGACAATTCTAGTGGGTTCTGGCAAATGGAGGTGCGGGTAGCGGTAGGTACATTAATTTGGCGGGGTTTTCTATGGGGGAAAATGTGGGCTGGACGTGGCCTAATTAGGAAGGATCTGCGAGTCGTACGTTCAATATCCTATAGGTTCCAGGGATCACAAACACTAATGCGGTGGAGCAAGATACATTTTCTTCCTTAGAAAACCTAGCCAAACTGATGTACCACCAGGATCCACCGTACTAAGGTTTGTGATCCCTGGGACCTGTACTGGCTGACCTGTGAAAAGGAGTCCTTCTTGGGCGGCTCCAATCCTCCAGGCCTTCTGGTCACCTCCCCCACTCTAGATAGCCGCTATTTCCACGCGCCAGTGCTATCCGATAGAGACCGCTTTCCAGCTGTAGTCTGCTTGCATGCACGGACAGCACCCGCAACCGCGCAAAGAGAGGCGAGTCAACCGGGTGGACATCAGCAGAGTCATCAGCTCATCCTTCGTTTTTGCCCCTTTAGGTAAGACCGGTGGTGGGGCCCATTCTCAGATCTCTCACCTAACTTTTTGTCGCATCTTGCTCGTTTTTTTTCTTGCACCCCACATCGGCCTCAGCCTTGGGGCCGTGCGCTTTCATTCCCGGGCACCAACCGAAAACAAAAAACGAGCCACCCAACCAAAACAGGGGCACATTTCAAAAAGCTGTCTATCAACAACAAAAAATAAAAATTAGCTGCTATTCCTGTGCAATTTAATGGGCAGTCAAGATTCTAGGTAATCGATGCTTTTTTTAGGCGTAGAATGGTGCTGAGGCATCGCGAATTGGGTTTGTTTTGATTGAGACTGATGCTTTCTGCTATAGAGTTTGATGGGGGAAGTGGCTCGTTTTTTTGTTTTTTTCGGTTGGTGCCGGGCCACCGCGGGCTAATCACGTTTGTTTGCGCCGATCGATGCATGGCAATTGCACGCCGTCGAAGCCCGCCCGATGTGGCTCGAGACCGTCGCGGGGTCTCGCCGCCGTCTC